ATTCCTGCTAGAGACATCATGCTCACACACACCTTCGATAAGACATGGTATACTGTATCAACCCCATTTTTTCACCTTGCCAACTTTACAACAACAAGTCCTATTTCACATTGTTGAATCTCTATCCGATAGATCAACTATATAATTGTAATTCGACCCTTATATACATTAAAAAAAAAAAAGTGAAGAAAATATATACAAGGAACCTTGTTGACTATGACCTCTCTCTCTCATGGGGCCTGGCTCTTATATTAGTTCAACTTCTTTTCTCAGTTGCCAGTTCATTTTCCTTCTTTCATATCATCTCTCTCGCTGTCACATTCTCTCTATCACAGAGCTTTGCTTCACTGCCACTACTGCTGACACTTCTCATAGGAATAATGAACAAACTTTGTGTTAACTGAAAAAGGTTTGGTCCTCACTCGTCATTGTATAGGTAATTAAGGGAAGGAAAAAAAAACACTACAAATGGGAAGGCACTCTTGCTGTTACAAGCAGAAGCTTAGAAAGGGTCTTTGGTCTCCTGAGGAGGATGAAAAGCTTCTGAGGCATATTACAAAGTATGGTCATGGATGTTGGAGTTCTGTGCCTAAGCAAGCAGGTAATTGTTTAATTATATGTCCAACTAAGCCTATTTTATTTTAATGTTCTATAGCATATGAAAAAGAGAAAAATATGTATTGGCAGGTTTGCAAAGGTGTGGTAAGAGCTGCAGGCTTAGGTGGATCAATTACTTGAGGCCTGATTTAAAGAGAGGAACATTCTCACAAGAAGAAGAAAACCTTATCATTGAACTTCATGCAGTATTAGGGAACAGGTGATTGTAAATTTGTAATTCAGTCTCTCTACTCATGATTGAATTCACCCCTTTTTCTCTTTTCTTTTCTCCTGTGCTTAACATTTTTTCTTTTGCAATATCCTGTGCTGTCTCAGGTGGTCTCAAATTGCAGCACAGTTGCCAGGTAGGACTGACAATGAAATAAAGAATCTGTGGAACTCTTGCTTGAAGAAGAAACTGAGGCAAAAGGGCATAGACCCTGTCACTCATAAACCACTTTCTGAGGTTGAGAATGGAGAGGACAAAGAGAAAGCACAAGAAGTGTCAAATGAATTGAACCTCCTGAAATCAGAGAGCTCCAAGTCAGATTCAGCTTCCTATGAGCATAGAACATCAATTTCTCCAAAAGCCTATGCACCTGAAATGGATGGTTCTTGTAGCTCCAAGATTGAAAGCAATTACGTAACCAATTTCAGCAAAGACTTGTTCCTAGACAGGTTTATGAGTAGCCGCCAAGAGAGCTACACTAACACCACTAGTTGCCAGCCCTCAGATTTGATGGGGAATTTTCCCATTCAGATGAGTTATGCAACCACTGAGTGTCTCCCAAATGATTCAAATTCTAGCCATTGGTTCAGCCAAAATGGAAGGCCTTTTGATATGAACTCTGAAATCCCTTTCAATGCTGCTGCCACTTCTATTCCTACACCTACAACCAACTTGTTTCTCCCTAATAATTCTTTTTGCTACAAGCCCTCACTTGCTGTTCCCTCTGACAATGTTTCTACACCCTATGGATCCCATTACTGGGAGGCCACTGCCTCAAACAATAGCAATAGCAGCATTAGGAGTGATAGCAGCACAGAGATGAGAACAAGCAGCCCCTTAAACTTACCTTATTCTTGGGGTTTGGCAGATTGTAGCACCTCTACTAAAGAGGCTCAAATTCATATGATGGAGAATCATGCAGAAGAAGCTAAGTGGGATGAGTATCTTCATAATCCAATCTCTATGCTGGCTTCTGTACAAAACCAAGCTCCTGAGTCCTTATGCAATGAGATAAAAACATCCATGCATTTGGTACCTGATAATACTTTAGGGGCTATGTTACCTCATAGTCATACTAAGCAGCAAGAACCGTCTCAAAATTCTAGTATCTTTTCCAAGGACATGCAGAAGCTCAGGGCAGCGTTTGGACACATGTAAAAGGAATGGAGATGAACAAAGATTTTAGAAGGATTGCTATTCTTAGTACAGGTGTGTGAAACCACAGATTTTGCTCTTGTATGTAGGTCTAATACAAAACATTTATTTCATCTCCTTTCTTTTTTTGCTTTGTTAACATTTGTGAGCCAAACCATTTGTCTTTACTTTTTCTTCTACTCGGGTGTGGGATAGAATTGCAGAATAAGGATTGATATTCTCTCTTCTTTCTACTCTTTCTTTCTTTCTTTCTTTGCTACACTGTAACCGCAATGGTGAATTTGCATGTCCAAGTTCCAACCCATCAAAGATTTTATTGGTCCATGCAAAGTTTCATTTTCATTTTAATGCCAGGGACAGAGTTACTTTACCTGCAAACAATTCCAGAATCCAAGGTATGATCTTCTTTCCCACTTTCATACCATTGAAAATGACACTAAAATAGTGTAACCATCACTTTTACCAATCCAAGGTTCTAATGGTTGTCCATCGTTTTCTAGACAGTAGTAGAATAATATATTCACTTCCACAGTAGCCTTCAAGTTTTGGAGTCGATCCTTTCATGCAACATGACATGCCATGTGTAAATCTTATATTAATTTTTATAGGGTCTCGCTTATTTACTGTATATCAAGAAAGAGATTGACACAACTCGCATCATTTGGTCGCGTGAAATTTAAATATGAGAGAATCTATTAGTGTAAAGTCTTGCTTTCACTTACACAAACGAGACCGTTAGTTTTCCTTTAAGAAATTACAACTGAATAATTTTGCTCTCCTCACCAAGAAAATGACATGACCAAAATGAAGGTTAATTTTAAAAGCAGAAAAGAGATTAATTTAAGAGGGACTGTTTCCCCCCAATAGTTTTAGCTGGATATTTTTTGACACTAGAAGCATATTAGAAATATATAAAAAAATCCCACCTCAAAGTTATAAGTGAAAAAAATCCAAACTCATATTATAAGAATGCAGAAAAGAGTAACTAGCATATGGTCACGTTTGGGCAAGTTAAGTGACACCATTCAATGGCATTGATAAATTGAAAATCGCTTATTTCCGTGCAATGAGACAAGGACTTGCAAGCTAACATGGGCCACATTAAGTATGGCCATGTCTTCGAGTTTCTTTAAGACACTTAAAAGTCGAAACATTATCTTAAACAACGCATTGCTAGCAACACCTCCAATTTGAAGAGGTAGATCAGCAACTAAGTTCCATTATGATTTTTTTCTACACGCTCCAAATGTGTCATTATTTGACAATTTTGATTACCTACCTTCTTACTTTGTTAGAAAAGGCAATATATGTAGCATAAAAGCCCAAAACAAAATTTTGTACATCAAAGTGCATGTTTAAACGTCAATGTTAACATTGACATGTTCATTTAATTCCAGTACTATATCAACATATACGTGCGAGACTGAAATTATAGCAAGTACCTTTACTTTCCTTACAGAGAATTTGGACAATGGAAATAAATTAAAAACTACCACACATTCCACAGTAATATTTAACACAGTCAGCATAGAACAAAACATAACTATGTTATTGATTTTTTTTCCCCTTTTTTTTTTTTTTTTTAAATTTTAATCAACACTGCACTGCACGGTAAGGTAAATGAATGGAACAGCAAAGAAAATACGTACATGATAGTGACAGGAGAGAGCCGAGAATCATGAATTGTGTTATCAAATAAGTGAATTACATGCATGTATAACAGTTACTATGTAGCTAGTACATCTAACTAACCAAAACTGTTAGTAACTAACCTTGACCAAAGTTAGTTAATTAGTCATCAACTGATCTTTTTCTTTTGGTACTTAATTAATCAACTAATCTAACTCAACAAGTTAGTGATGTAATATATTTGTTCATATATTATAAATTAAATTTTGTATAACCCATGATTTCATTTTCTCATTTTCTTTATTAAGCATTATTAATATTTTTTATATTTCAAATTACATCTCACACGGTAATCTCACCACATCTAGAAGAAAAAAAATCCTCCTCAACTATCTCCAACTACTCTATCCTTTTATTTTTATTTATCTATCTTTTTAATCACATATATATCTTTGAATCTACCATCTTTTCTACTTGTAAACTATATTTCAATGGTTTCTTTTAAAAGAAATTTTCAATACTTCAAAAATGAATTTATATTCTAATTTAAATTATTTATCATAAATTCAAAAATAATTTATATTTATTTATTACAAATTTATGGATAATTTATTTATTAAAAATTTATGAATAATTTTTTTATTACAAATTTAATTATAATATAACTTATATATTTAAAATATTTATTATAAAATTTAATTACATACAAAATTGAGGGACAAAAAGTAATTAAGCTTTCAAAATACTATAACTTCCATTCTCCATATATTATTAAAAGCTAGACTTGCCCAAAGTAGACCAGTCCATTCGTGGCTCTCTTATTGTTGGGCCGCTGAATGATATAATTAGAAAAAATGAGTCTGGGCTTCAAAAATAGGCTGATCCAATGTAAATTTAATGTTTGACAATGTAAGACTTGAGTAGTCTAAATTTAATGTAAACAAAGGAGAGGAGAATGAGAAAGGACACAACTCACAAGGGTGTGGGAGGGTTTGGAATAAAATAGGATGAAGAGTGAGAAAAAAGAGCAAAGTGGTTTGAGTTATACAGATCTTTCTCTATCACTTGACACTAGCCCTGTTGCTACTTCACCTATTGCAAATTACCCCATCTATATAGTCCCACTATGTTTTCTACATTACACTGTTTTTTTCCCTGACAATCTATCAAGATTAAAAGATAAGACTACCAATGTATTTTTCAAATTTGTCGCACTTTCTATGCTTCGTCACATGTTCTCTTTAGTGTTTGAAAATGAAGTCATAATAGAATATAACTCACATCAATGTTGGAGAAGTCGATGGCTAGAAAGTAATGACTGACCTACATTAAACTAAGGGTGAACAAATGCATCTCCCTCATTTTAATTAAATTATAAGGGTATATTTAAAAATATTATATTTTACATTTTTTAATTTTATATATTTATCGCATTAGTCATTGTTTTCAACATTTATGTTTTTCTTTTCATATATGATGATGATGATTATTAAGTTTTATTTTTATTATCTTTTTCATCGTCTTTTTACACCAATTTGTCATTTTATGGGATCATAAGACGCGTAACCTATTTAAAAATGCCGTGTAAAAACGGTCGTTAAGGGGGGAAAACAAATTAATATTGTCAATGATAGAAAGGTGGCAGCAGATTCACGAATTCACTGTCCATTTTTGGATATTCTAACCAAAAGTAGATAAATAAATGACTACTACTAATGAATCTTATTGACATCACTTATTATCAGTGATAATGACGATAAATACTCGATTGTATTCTCAGCCAAGAATGGTCTTTCCATAATAATTAATGAATGTTGATTGTTGAATGAATACTCATTGCAATTACAAGGATTAAAGTGTAATGAGGAAACAACAAACTTTTCTCACTTAAAGTTAAACACCAGATTATGGCAGCTGTTGTCACACGGGTAAGCACAGTCAATAGCTTTGACAGATTCTCGATCAAAATACCAGTCTCCAACAGCAACTGCAATTGGCTGCATCATAAAAGATTATTTTGAGATAAATAAACAGAAAAGTGGGAAAGGCATGAAGCTTGAGAAGTGAATTATGAATATCTCAAGGCACTAAAGTCTTTCGTTCAGACTAATCAAATTTGAGTTTGCAGTCAAAAGAAAACGAGTTAGTTTTTGGAAAGAGCCTAGAGTCTGAACAGATATAATGGAACATTACCTTTTTGTGATTTTCAATTAATTACAGCCAATAATAGTGTGTTCAAAAGAATGTGTTAGAAAGAATGTTGCTAGTATTTTCTTTTTGAAATAACTATGTTTTGTCTAAAGACAATGGAAATCTAAATTGAGCGTACCTTGTCCTCGATAAGGGGAGAGTCATCAGCAAACCATGTCTCTTGTCTCTCAGATTGACAATGAGCAAAACAAGAATTTATGAATAGTCCAGTTTGAGATGACCTTGAGAAGTCTTTAATGTCACTCAGCATTTGATTTCTAAAGTCTGTTTCAAAGAAGAGATATGATATGTTACGATGAAATCAAACAATTGCAGATGTACCTTAATTGCCGTGAATCATTCATGTTAGTAGACATACCATTTATTACAAGAAAATAAGAAATTTGCATTAATGTACACAATTTTATGCGCATAATTCACTGTAGGAGATTGAAAACACCTTGGAGGAACTGAAGTTGAGATAAGCTACAATTTGCATGGTTTGATTTGCAGTCATTCCAAGAGCCCAGGGGATCAGCTGAAGGTGGGGCTAAACTGGCTTGGACCTGATGAAAATATAGTTCACATCATAAAAAAATATTGGTAATCAGGTAGAAGCACCTTTAACAAATAATAATGGTGTCAACATAAATGATCATGGTAATTGTTATTCCTGGTTTGACGTCGGACCCAGTTTTTTAATTATGGATGGTAAAAGTCTTAAGTCCTAGGTTTGTGAAATGTTAAATCCATAATTTTATACCCTATTGTATTTGTATAAGAGAAAAATAATTGACCACTGGAACCATTTGAGGCAAATGGCAATCTCAGACAATAAATTAGTCAAGCTAGAACTTATGGAGTCATGCGATAGAACTTCGAAGAAAAATGTGTTCCATGTAATTAGCATATAACCAGGCACATCATTAAACATAATACAGGATAAACAACGTACTAATCCATGTTATATACCTGCCACACATCATAAGCTGCGTTGAGTAGAAACAATGGGGTCTCAATATGTTCGACCATATTCTGAGGGAAGAAGCACTGTGGGAAGAGACTCCAGATGATTAAAATTTGAATGTCAAAAGAAATTTGAAGTTACGAATATCATGGCATCCAAAATAAGAATTACCGAAGTTGGATCCAATTGGTCGAGACAACTTTTTGGCAGATTTTTTTGCACCTCCTACAATTTCAAGACATCACCGACATGACATATTTGTACAGGTAAAACTAATGAAGAATATACTCCTAAAGTTGTGTTTTAAGATCATTAGTCTTTCCTTGATATAGTATCAAACCATGCATGACTAAGCAGGCAATAGATTGGTCCTTGCTGATTCCATTATTGATGAATAATATCTAAATATAACCATAACCACATAAATCTACTAATCCATATCATTAGTTATTAACTTCTGTCCAAAAAACTTTTTTACTACAAAACTAAATTGAACGTTACCTGTAACTGAACCACACCTCCAAACAGATTCCTTAGTGTGCGTCCACCAGATACATCAATTCTACATGATTGAATACATAACTAATTATAACTACGTTTCTAAGCAAGGAAACAAGCTAGAGGATGTAATATAATGAAAATTTTAAAACTTACGCATCAAGAAAAAAACCTGCATCACTCAAACATTTCACTTTGGAAGATTTTGGAAACAAGCTCCGGAACTCATCACAATGTATTATGGATGCCAGACCGCCCGCAGAGCATCCAGAGAGAAGTGCCTGATATTCATTTGTTGATTAGCATTCATGCATATGAGAGACTGAAAAACAATATAAAGAAGAGACATAGGAAACCTGGTCAGCTTTCTGCATTCCTTTGGACATTAATTCCTCCATTGCAGCCAGCCATATTTTTTGTCCTCGAAATTGAAGCTGTGCAGACTGAAAAAAGAACCAAATTCCCATATCAATGTAAAAACAAATTCCAAAACAAAGGATTTTTATTTAACAACTAAACTAACTCATGAGCACTAAAGGGTATATAAGAGAAACTTGTTCAATATAAAAGTTATGTTATCCGCACCAACAAAGATTTAAGATTCACAAGAAATAAATAGATTTGTTAGTTTTGCATTTTAAATAGTTTTATAGGATAACATACTGGAATTTTGAAAATTTATGTGCTAATACTGTGAGAAATCATATTGCAAAATGTTCCTGCATGAGGTGCAAAACATGACACATATGACTAGAAGAATCCTATTTATCATCTTCTTAAGCGAGTGCTATATTAAAAAATAAAAAAAGAAGAAAAACAAAAACAAAAACTGTTAAACAATATGTCAAGTCAGTGAAACAAAAGAAACAGTTATGTTATTTGTTGCGTGTGTAGCCATAAGTTTGTGGCACTAGCTTTCCTATTAGAAATTAGTGATTTTATTATGTAGCTGGATTGATTAGATGTGCAATAACTCAGATTTCCATGGACATATGAAGTCTGTTAATAGAAATTATAGAGATAAAAAAAAAAAATTAAAAAAGTGGCATGTTATTCTCACTGACCTCATCTTCACTATCTCCACTGAAAGACGCCCCATCACAGTATCGTAATTTAACTCTGTTCCAGTTAAAGAAATCTGAGCATGGAAGATTACATCCAGAAACATGACAGAACACACAGACTTTAGTACGCATAAGTTGTAGCCTTCGGGAGGGCAGAGTTCAATTTATTGAACTACAGGTAAAAAAAAATGCATTCATGCTCAGGGTAAAGGGAAAAACCAGGATTTTCTTCAGGTTTGTTGCTCAATATTCCCGTGAATGGTATTTGACTTTCCATGTATTTTGAGGAACCACGGCGAGTATTTTTTCTATAGACACAGTTTCTAATGGTGTTACACCATCCTCCTCCCTGCAGATATTCAAAAGGTATCAGTGTGGTTAAATAAACAATTCAAATATTAATTTTAAATCAAGTAACTTTTTATGGTATTACACAGTCCTCTTTAGTATACCTTCTTAATATAGATCAATGAACGGCTAGAACAAAGGGGAAAATTTTAAAACTATTAAACCTTGAAAACATTGTTATTAAAACTTGAACATTCTTTACCTCCAAATGAATAAGCCAACTATCTGCACCAGATCCAAATCCACGATCCAAATGGTAACCAGGCAATGTTCCATCCAAACAGACTGGCATTATAGGACAAAAACATAAACCTTATTTGCCAGATTTCAAATCAAGTAACAAATTTATGCTTGAGTGAACATCTTTACTCTTTTCAACAAAATAGGTTTTACCATCAATCATGAAAAACTCGGCCAATTCAAATAAGCACACACATAATGATGTCTATCCTTCGAATATTTTGTTATTAAAAAGCATACTTGGTTCCATAATTCATAAAAATAAGATGCATAATCAAACAATAGCCATTGCAAGGAGAGACAGACAAGGGACATTTGTAAAAGGTCAATCTCCATCTCAAATTCCGCCCACTATGGTACCTCAACTTCGAATTCTGATTAGGAAGTAACTAACTTTCAACGATTAAAGAATAATATTGGGGGGAGAAAAGCAAAGAAATGCAAGTGTAGCAAATAAAGAGAGAAACATAAAAGGACCAATCTCTCAAATATTGTACACATATTTTAAAGGAGAATCAAGAAAAGGGGTTTAGCTACAAAATGTGGAAGTTGATGCAATAGCTCAAAGGTATATTATTATATACAAGATTCTCCTCTAAGGAAAGTAATCCATCAAGCGATGCTTACAACACCCAATTAATACCCTTTGATGAGACATGATACAAAGAATGCAATGTGAAGGTACCAGTAACAAAGAAGCTGAAAATGTAATTTTCAGAAAGAGACACATCATAGAAAGAAACCGTTGAAAAATAATTCAGCAGAGAGAGAGAGAGAGAGAGACCAGCTCCTTTAGAATCAGCTCCTTGAATGAGAGTGAGGTCGACCATAAGAGGTTGAGGTTGAGGTGAGGAGGAATGCCTTGTTGAAACGGCATTGTTGTCTAAGAAAGAAAGCGGAGAGAGTGTCTCAGATCCGAAGGACAAGATCCCAGAAACAAAGCATGCAAGTTGAACAACGAACACCAAAACCAGCTTCATTGTCATGTTTGTGAAGCTCACAACGTTGTCGTTGTTACACTCTCCGCAGCTATAACTACTTAATCACACACTCACTTTATCTCTTGCTTTGTCTTTCACTATTTATTTGCTTTAAATGAGAACCGTTGGCCGTTTCTCTTCTCATGTGGAGGAAACAAAGCTTATCTTACTGCTAACAAACACACACAAAGATGGTAGACCCATGTCGTAATTTTCATGATGTTGTTTTTCTTCAAACAATCACGATTCACGATATTAAAGTTTAATCTATCATGTCTTTAAAATTACGCAATATCTTCATCATGAAGCGATTCCTCTTGCTTTCTAGTATTTAGTATTTAGTTATTACTTGTTAGGAGCTGCACCCATCGAATAAATCATTTCTTTTCGGCTCCTTTTTTTGTTAGTTGGTGGTGGGCTATGGAAAACATGTATTCTTGTTACTAATGGTGGTACCTATTTTTTTCCAATTAACTACTCTTTTTGAAGACCTACAACACAATTATTGTCGTGCCTAATTGAAGGCGCTAACGGAGCCAGTCACGTCCAATTATATCTATTACTATTATTAAAGGGTATCAAAATTTTCCTGTTGGCCATCATAAGATCTATAAATTACACTTCCCTATTAGGTTTTCTTTGTTTTATTTTACAAAATATGATTCATTGTATAACATAAATAAATAAAACTCCCCCGTTAGTCCCACCTACTGTTTTCAGTTAGCCAAAAGAAAGGGGAGGGATAATGGATATTTCATCATGTTGTGGTCCAAAAACATGTAGACAGATACTCGTTCTTAACTCTACTAATCAAAATCTAGATAGTATATATGTTATTTGAAAAATAATAAAAAAGTTGTTTTAAAGATTTAATTGCATCATGTATTTTTTATTTTAAAAATTTATTAGAAAGGCGTTACTTGAATTTTCTTGTCAGGAGCTGTTTCAACTGACATCTAAGTGTTTCTATATCAATAACTACAAGCGCAAGTAATGAATTAACTTTAATGGACCCGGGCTAAAAGTAGTCTATGCCCAACTTTGCCGTGTCCACTTATTGCGGGAATTGATTCTTCGCAAAAGTAGAAAGTAGGATTGCACTCTACCATAAGGCATATATACCTTCACTTCGACTTCGAAAAGCTTCAGCTATTTTTTGAGTATGCGTAACAGCTTAAACTAATTAATTTCCGGCTCACAAATATTCGTTATATATTATTTATACCATATTTATCACACAGGTTTCCACTCAACAATTTACAATGTTTATCTTTTATGCTTATGAAACACTACCCAATGGTATGCTTGATATCATAAATCATCCACGAGTAAGTTGGTTTCAACTTATTATGGACAACACTGCCAAAATTCACAACTCTAAAGGATGTAAAAAAACGACACATGACAACTAATAATACAGATTATAATTTATATAAGACAGATGATAGAACTAGCATACTGCCAATAGATTAATTGACGATGGTGGTGCACATTTGACATTACAAACTGTATACAACCAACGTTAAACATCAATCAACTATCAATCACCTTTCAAATAAAATCTATCTGGGAAACTCTATAAGCAACTAAAGTTACAATAAAATCTATCTGGGAAACACTATAAGCAACTAAAGTTACAAATGGAGAGGGGGAAATTATCCCACAGAAGGACCCCATTGGTGGAACAAATTGAAATATTCCTGTAAAGGAGCTCGGGCAAAAATTAGCTTCCCACAAATTATTATACTTGGCAAAAATAAATTGGAGAAAATAATTAACCTATGCAGACATTGTGTCACTTGATAATATCTGATTTTCTTCACCAAACTTATGATGCTTATATACTTCAAGCAGCAGTTCCCTACATGGGACGACGGCCCCAATCTTGATGCATGCCAAAAAAGCACCGGAAAGCTTTCTGTGCAGACTATAGGCTTCATCAGGTGGAGGAGTGAGCCTGTGCTTTAGCATTGTTGCCCCAAGATGAGAAATGCTTTGGGTAATGTTGGCTGATCGGAAATCAAATCCACCAGGTCTTGAGAATGGCAAACCCACAACAAACCCAGCTTGGACATGGGCATCTAGCATCACATCTGATTCCATTCCAGTTAGGAACCCAAGTCTCTTGGACATCTCAATGACTCCATTACTATCACCATTTGCACATGCTAGAACCTAATTAATTATGCATCATAAACAAAAATAACAATAATAAGAGTCCCGAAGAATTTGCTGCTCAGCTAAAAAAAGGGTATAATAGTCAAGTAGCTTTAGCCCTCCCACCGAGTTGAAGCGGATGAATTTGCCCTTAAAGAAACATTATCTAAGAACTTATAAAATCCTATATTGCTATGACGTAGAGCATAAATTCTTTTAAATAAAAATAATATTAAAAATTATAACTCTGGGGGAACAAAATATCTTATTTCGACCTAACAATCAAGTGCTACTAAGCCATAACCATAACATGAAAACACAGAAGAGAAAATTAAATTGGAAAAAAAAAAACTAAAAAGGGTACAAAATGATTCTGTTTACCATATTAACGAAACAGCTGAATGATCGATCACTTTAGTTACTTGGAAGGGAACCAATAATAGCGGTCATTTATAAGTGCAATAAACTGTTATCCAAAGCAGTTAAGGGTAGGTGTGATGAACAGTTACATATTATTAAATATATGTGTGTAGTATGATATACGCAATCAACAATTGACATCTTTATCAGTCTAATTTGAATATCCAAATCTGAGTACTCGACAGAGAAAACAATAAAAGTCTTTGAGAATGACTGATCGGAAATCAAATCCACCAGGTCTTGATTTGATTTCCGAATCTCAACAGAGAAAACAATAAGCCAAATTTAAGATTTCAAATCTCAGCTTAGTCATTGATATAAAAAGATAAATTAGAAAGGAAGAAAACCAACCATTCTCAAATAATCATCAACAAAACTTTTAGGGAAATCCCGAGCTGCTCCAAAATCAATCAGATTGATTGTCTTTGTGGCTTCATCAAATAAGAAATTACCCCAATTAGGATCAGTCTGTATTAAAGAACACCCTCCAAGGTTAGAAGAGATCAGAAAAAACAGATTTGAAGGTGTGATTTAAAGAGAAAACTTTCATGTTAACTTTGAAAGACATGAAGCAACAAAATACAATAGAAAGTGAAATTCATGAACATAAAATACATAAGATATTAGAATATATATGATCTCATTGTATCTATCTTTTTAACAATCAATATTTGGGGGAAAAAAGAGTGATAATGAGTCAGGATATAGCAACCTACTCACCTATAACATCATTATTCATATCATCTTTGCTTTACAGTGTGGGGGAAATAAACTATGCACAAAAATAAGCATTTGCATGCAATAAGCATTCAACAAAGAAGTGTTTATAGATGCTATGTTAGTGAGGATGATAATTTCATTCACCTTTGTCATATTTCACTGAAATCTTTCAATAATATGTGTTTACTTGACTTTAACAACACCAGAAGAACTAGATAACCAAACCAAAAACCATTAGCTACCCTTCAAATTTCATATGCTTGGACCAGAATTCTCTGATTGCTGATACTACCGTAAGTATGTCAACAATGGCCTTTAATAATTTTACACGTGCACATATATAAAAAATACAAGGCAGAATAACGTGCCTGCATAAATCGGAAGACAAATAACTCCATCAATGTGAGTTCTAATAACTTCTTCCCAATATAATTACGAGTTTCCTGGTCCAGTAACGCCACTTTGTCAATTGGAATTCCTGTAGCAATAAGAAAACCAACCCATGTTCAAAGACAAGCTAAAAATTTAATTCAAAACAATATCATTCAATTTATTTATTCCAAGTAAAGTAAACAGATTGATCGGTAAACTGGATAAATATCCAGAGTTGTTTGATACATATTATTTTTCCTTCCACAGAATGAACAAAAAAATTGTAATTCAAAGAAAAGCATCCCTTGTCTAATAAACAAGACAAATAGTATCATTCTCACCAAAAGTTGAGAAATACTTGAGCAAAGAATGGATAAAAACATCCTGCACAAATTTGTTTCTTCATAAAACTATCTGATTAAAGGTGACAGTCTGACAGAATTTTTCAAAACATTATTAGATAATGTTTTGTTAGTCACTTTTCTTTTCATTTTTAATGAATTAAAAAAATTCACGGTTTCTTCAAAAAAAAATAAAGCAAGATGAAATAGTTGAGTAAATGACTAACAATTGAGATACAAAAGATAAAATACGAACATCTACAGTAAAAATCATCTATCCAATTTGGAAAACTATATCTTCCATGAATATAATAATATCTATCGAGAGCTTTGCCATTCTAAAGGGGTGTCAAATGCAGATGCATCAAACACCACATACCTTTTTATTATTTTGAATCACTTAAGTGTATAAGTAGGCTATGCAAGTTATGATCCCAAAAAGCTCCTTTAAGGTAAGGATGTATAAAAGAAAATATCACTAGAACTGACGACATTTTTAATTACCATGAACAAGCTCAGTAGTTAATACTCTTTTGCTTGAAATATCATCCACAACTATTGGAACATAAAATCCGTCTGCACCAGTAAGAAGATCTCGGAACCGCTTCTGGTTTGCAGCCTCCAACTTGTAATCACACTCTCGAGATAATTCTTCTTTGGCCACCTAGAAAAAAAAAATTACAGGGAAAACGTAAAAAAACAGGGTTTAACATATAGACAGATATATTTGTTCATGGAGACAAATTGTTTTATATATGATAGCTAAGAGACTCCAGATCAATATCAACCTTAAATAAAAATCATACTGCATGATCCAATTCAGGACAGAGTACATGGATCATTAGAAGGATGGGTTGATAGGTAGAGTGGCGGCAAAAAGAAAGAGGTAGTAATTAAAGAGTTGCACACATATGTACACAGATCAAACTATTACAGATTGAATATGGATTAGGATCTCACTGATAAATTTGAAGGCATATCACTCAGTGAAAGGAAGAGTGGGACTAAGGGATCCAAACCCCTACAGGCAAGATAGAAAATTTGTGGGTTTAAAGACTATGAAATGAGAATACTGAAATATACACAAAAGATGCATGAATTGATTGAATTATATTGATAAATACACACCTTTATAGCTCTGTCAAGATAAAGTCCTTTAGGAATTAGATTTGTGTAGTTTAAAAGAAGCTTCACATTCTCAATGTCACTATCAATGCTATCTGCAACACCAGGGTACTGAATTTTCATTGCAACTTGCATTCCATCCTTCATGACAGCTTGGTGCACCTAAATTCCACGAGGAATTGCATCAGGCAATACTATTATACTAAGCAAAAGTGCCACAATATAAAGTTGCATGATATTGCTGTGGGGACCTATGTAAAGTATTTTGCTTAGAACTATATTGAACATAAGATTTCATACATAAGGAAGGAGCTGTAGCAAAGTTTGGCATTCTTATAAGAATGACTTTTATGTTAGTGTGAATCCAAAGTGAAATAGATAGTCCAAAGTCACCTCAGTCTGGCTTTTTTTGAAAGTGTGGAAACTGGAAAGCAAGATTGAGTTTTCAAAACTCGTTAAATTAACATGTTTATTTGTGACTGATATAAACATGACTACTACATGGCACAAATTGAAGAACTATATATAATTATAAATATGAGAAATAAAAAAAATTGCAATATCTTAAAAATAACTCTCCTAAAAGGTTATGTGGTAAGGCGAAGGCTCAAGAATAGATTTTATACATTTCTATCACATTCATGCCAGATTTCATATTTGAAGCGTAGACAATGCACAGACTCTTGCTGAAATTCAACATGTTATAAGAACAATAAAGGCAGTAAGAACAAACCTATGACCACTTGATCATTGAGACTAATAATACCATATCAAAGACCAACCAAACTAAAGCTCAAGCTGTTAGATCAAGAATTGTGAATGTATTTTATACACATCTCTAACAAGTAAAAACCAAAGATAATTTGATTGATGCTAAACATTTACTTTTCTTTTCTTTTTTTTTTTTTTGGGGGGGGCACACCAAAGGTATAAAGTTTAAGGACTTTAAAAAATAAGTTGAAAAAATATATATTAAAAATGACTACTTAACATCTAAAGTAAAAGTCACTAACATAAGGCCAAAAGTAGAAACAGAGATGGCAAGTTTGAACTTTGAATTAAATGAAACTACTTGAGAAATACCTAAATTCAAACACAAAGATGGAATGATGGAAAATGACGACAGCTACAGAAATTTGGCATACAAAAATCAAAACAAGTAAATAATATATTTAAAGCACAAAAAAGTATTAAAAAAAAAAAAAACATGACATATAAAAAAAGCAAAGGTGGCATCTGAATCTCCTTATGACTCCCATTCCTTGAGATCTTACAGAGGGGCAAGGTGGAGGATTCCTTTATCAGGTTATGTGAACTTTCAGATCTATATTCTGTTAATTAAGCCTATAGTTGGCTAATAAAAAATTGATCTGGTCTTGGCAACTGATTTGCAAACTGGCAATCCCAGAAAAAATCTCCATATTTTTCACAACTCCCTCCCAGTAAATGAGATGAGATTCAATAGAGGATTTGCATCTTCTCATTATGCCAGATGTAATGGAGCAGCTCATGACGCTATCATTCATTGTCTTGAAGGTTGTGATTATGCTCACCATGATTGGGAAGTTCTTGGGTTTGTTAATCAACCTAATTTTCTCATGATGGACCCAGCATGATTGGATAACAACTTTTGCTCAAAGTAAGATGGTAGTTATGTTTCTCACTTCAACCTCAATGTGGATGGTGGTTTGGTCAAAGATGAATTAGGAAACTAGAACTTTAGTTTTTCTGGTTATATCAGCATATCTTAAAATATCCATGCTTAGTTCATGGCTATTAGATGTGGAAATGGCTTAGGATAGAGACATGCAAAGTTAATCTGCCATTTGGATTCACATACTTTCATTATCTTCACAAGGATGACTTTAAGTACCATAAATACACTTACATATATAGTATCAAGAAATTAATCTCCTATGATTGGACAATTATTCATGTAACATATATTTTAGGGTAGCCAATTTATGTGCTCATTGGTTAGCCAAGGAGGGTGACATGCATGATGAAGCCTGTAGTGTGTGGATTGTTCCTTCATGTGAGCTTAACACGCTTCTTTGGGCAGACGTAATTGGGTTGTATCTTTTTATTGGAAGTTGCTTGCTTCTTTACTTTTTCAGATGATGTAATGTAAAAAAAAAAAAAAAGCAATATATAAAGAAGCACACATACCTGGCCAATACTAGCAGCAGCTATAGGTTCATAGTCAAAACTAATTAATTTTGATGACCAGCCAGGACCTAATTCAGCATTTAAAACTTGATTAAGCTGGTTCTTTGGCATCACATCTGCGCCTTGACGGACAATTTCTAATGCAGCCAGAATCTGCAGATAAAAGATTAAGAGTTTACTCTTAAAGTCACATGAGAATATAAACAAACAATTTAGTCATTCCTCCATGGATCTGAATTGATGGCTATTCAATAAAAGCAAATGTATCTGATTGTACAAGAGGCATTAGCAGCTAATATGAAAATTATAACCAAAGAATAAAAATAAAAAGATAAACAGAAACAGTAATAGATTCGCAGCCTAATTAGTGAGTCTGAGATGACAAGCACCATTAGCCAGTAAGAGGTTCATTACTCATTAAGCAGCCTTTAGTTATTTGTTTTCAAAATTTTCACTTTTGCCCTATGTCCAACCTTGTCCATTTAAAAGGAGGATGCATGTCAGACTGCTGCTGATGACATCCACTCCATGTTCAAGTAGATCAAACATAATTACACTGTATTGAAGCAATGACTTGGAGCCTATTTAAAATTTCAATTCAGTGCATTAAATGATTTAGTGCTGGTAAGGCCTTTCCTGGGATATGAGAGGTCGACTTAGTGCTCTTAAGATTGATTCAATAGTGTTAAAATAAAAAATGATTTAGTGTTGTTTGTTTGATACATGCCAAAAGTTACATTTAAGGGGGGAAAAACTAAAAGCTCATGAGAAACCACTGAATGCATTCAGCAGAAATTCTTTTCTTGCTTAAATAATGGAAAGTAACAACATCCTTTACAATAGCCTTGATTATATAATCAGAAATAGTTTACTTTAGTACATTTTCAGCATTTAAATTTCTGTTTTTGACTTTTTTCTACCTTAGGGGATTTGGGCATGTGTAGAGAAGACTAGTAAAAGTCCAAGCTAAGAGAGTAGATCAAATGGAAGGTAGCTCTATCACTAGAGGTAGAGATACCAAGAAAAACTACAGGCAAAACCATAAATGCTTTGGTTTGTCTATGAACATGATTCACAATAGAACACTATTGGTGATTTGAACTATGTAAATGACCCCACCTATTGGGAAAAAGTTCGGTAGTTGTTTCTACTCCAAAAAAAAATAAAATCCGGTGTTCAATTTTTCATCACTAGAAATTCAGTGCTATTTTTTTTCAATTTAATTAAACGAACCATAGTGTCTCATATTCAGCTAAAAAATGGCATGACATCAACCCTATTTAATACTTATTATCATTAACATGCATCTACGTAAACAAGATACATATTCACAATAAATATGTGTGCATCGTACCAACTGGATAGCGCTCCTCTAAAGTGTGCTTGTCGTTATAGCAAGCGGTGTGTCCACTCTTCTATAACTTAAAGTGAATTGTAATCTTAGCCTACTAAATAAATTACAAGGAAAAACTCATAAATATCACTTTACACAATCGCACTTTAGACGAGCTCTTTCGATACCAATTAAGCTAGAACTAGAAGCATAAAAGAGATGTGACATTACCGGAGCAGGAACAAGTGACTCATCCTGTATGCTCAACATCTGCCCAATTTTTAACGCGGCTCCACGCATTCTACATAGTGCAAGAGCCAAGCGTTCTGCATTTTTCTCAGACAAGAACGGGGAAAGTGCAGATTTATTGCCCTCCGAATTTGGCGTACCAAAGGCAATCCTCTTGGCAGATTCCTGAAGTGTCCCCCACGCAAGACCTGCTCCTAGCCCCGCAAACCTACAACGACAACACACACTCGAGTCAAAAATAGTAAATGCCGATTCATCACAATTCACAACAAAAACCAAACGCAACCGTAATGAAATGAAACAACACTAACCCGAGAGCCCTGGTAAATGGAGTTGCGGGAACCTTCCTCTCCCTCGGCCTTCGCCTCCTCAACGGCGGAGGCGGCGGCGGCGGCGGCTTTTCTTCCGTTTCAGGTGAGGTGAGAGGCTCGCATTTGTCCTCCGCCAGCGCACTAACATCCGCGTGGGAAGAAGAATCGGCAAGACGGTCGATGTTTGTTGAATGAGAAGGAGAAGAAGGATTGTCGGCGAAAACAACGACGGAATGAGAGGTGGTGGAGCTAGAAGCGGTGGGGAATGAGTGAAGCTTTCCCTTGGTGATGCCGGAGAGGTCGGTGGCGGAGACGAGGGTTTTGTTGATTAGGGTTTGGAAATCGGCGGGTAAGGAGCGTTTGGCGAACTCGTTGGCGACTAGGGAGAGGCCGTTGAGGAGCCTTGTGAGGTCTCTGAAGGAGCCCATCACTTAGTCTAGAGATTCAATTCAGAACCCTCTCATGTTACGTTATTGTATTCAGAAACGAGTCTTGACTCTTGAGTCTTGACTACTACACGTTGGTTTTGGTGGTTCGTTTTCGATTCATGTGATGTGTCCAAAACCAAACACGTGTACGTGGCATGCGTCCCCTCCATCAAACAACCTCACTTAATTATATCATTTTATTGGTTTCACTTAGTTTAGTCTTTTAAACTGATTTGGTTTAGGGTTTATGATTCAAACTAAAAGAATGTATAGCTGTTGTGAACATTTTAGACCAATCCAACATTTTTTTTTTATACTTTTATTGTTGATTTTTTTTCTTTCAAAATGTAAGAAAATTAAACTAAGTTAAAATTAAACACACGAGACATGAATTCATTTCTTATTCATTATCCTTTCTTCTTATTTGGAGATGTATTTCATACATTACTTACAATTAGCTAACTAAAATTCTTCTTAACCATATCAAATTACCTTATTTATTTATTTGTAACTTGATATTCTAAAAAATTTGTATATTTCAATTTACTGCATTTTTATTTTTATCTTTAACCTTATTAAATTTTTAATAAATTATTTAAAAAAACATTGTTAATAGTTAAGATAATCTTATATTACAATTTAAATTATTCATTTTATATCTATTGTATGTTTATGTATTCATATATAATTATTTATGAAAAATAGTAATATAATTAATATACTGAAAATAATTATTTATTATAAATTTTAATTATATAAAAATATTTATCATATGTAATATGAAAGTCAAAACACTAGTTTTGGTTAAAAAAGACATTACAAATACTTAAAGAAACATTACCTATTGTAATGAAGTTTTGTCATTATTTTCGTGAGTTACATTACGACTACTAACCTTAAAGCACCAATTAATTATTAGATTTAGGAGTGTTAATATGGTCCTAAGTATTGTTTCTATTGACTGGTCTAATTTGCCTAACAAATGAGTTGGTCTAACTTGTAAAAATTTTGGCTCCACATTATTTTGACCCAACCCACATATTTGATGGCTTGAAGTGGGTTAACCTATGTGATGGATTATACCAACTTTTGAGCCATTTTTTTTATTAATTATTTTGACAATTTATGGAATCATAAATCATAAATTTAATACTACATATATTTTTAATTTTTTTATTTTAAATTTAATATTTATGTATATTGGATTTTTTTTTTTACTTTTAGTTTTAATATTTGTTTATTGTTATAGTTTTTTTTTTGTCATTGGAGTATCTACCACTGATAATAGTGACTAATCTCCTCACTATATGTTAGAGACACCTCAATGTTTATTGTTACGGTGAATACACTATTTCGTTTCTATTATTGTGTATCAATGCCCATATGTATTTTTAGGGTTTAATTTATAATGATTAAAAGTCGTTTTAATGACTTGTTATATTAAAAATAATTATTTTGACATTTTTATTTTTTCTATAATTTAAAAATGAGTGGTCCATGGGCCAACCTATTTAGCCCAAGACCCTTCAAAGGTGTGGTTGGTATAGAAAAATTTTAGACAGTCATAAAATTGGTTTGATCCGATCCAATCTCAAAACTTGTGGTAGACCAACCATGGACCAATTTGACCGAAATGATAGCCATATATTCCACTAATGCTCCTTATGTCTTTCAACTAGTAAATGTATGTGAGTTTTAGTTACTCTCACATATTTACGTTATATATAATATATTTTTCATATATATAAAATAAAATAGTGTCTTAGTAGCTAGTCACGTGCTTGGTGTTAAAAAATGGGGTAGATAAGTTCAAATCCTTTAAATTAAGTATTAAATTTAATTAATTTCAAAATTATGTATGAGGGCTTTATTTGAGCCATTAAAATGACAAGGATTACAAGTTTACAACAACTACAACTACTTATTTAACAAATTATTATCACCAAAAGTATAATTAAACCTAGATTTTATAAAGAGAAAAGGAATACGAAATAAAAATATACATACATTAATTATTGTGGAGGTAATATTTATACACTCATAAATTAGGACTATTAATCATAATATAGTAATAAAATATTTAAATAATATATACAGAGTTTCAAGTTTAAATTCTATTACCATCATTATAATTCTTAAAAATAACAAAATAAATAACATAATTATATTTGACAACTCAATCATTGCCAAATAATTTTATTTTGAATTTTGTTTCTATGTATTATTAATGTAAAATATTTAAATTGTCAAAAAATATTATTAATATAGTTTTTAATATAATTATTATAAAAGTTAATAAAAATTTTATATATGATTATTTACTAATGAATGACAATGTAAATATTATTTACTCTATTGGCGCACATACTATTTACTAAGTTTATAAACCAACTTTAGTGAATCAGTTGAATTTTATTGTTGTTGTTAATTTTATTTATTTCTATCAATTTCGAATATCTGGATTTTCCCCCCGTGCATTTACAAAAAATATACCTAGGCTTTTGTCGCGGTGCAAGACTGCAAATCATGTTTATACGCAATATGTAATGTTTTTGTTTTTTTTAAAAGGAAATGTTAATATAATATGTACCGTTTCTTGTCTTATGTTATGTTTATATGAATTTGATTTGGGTCAACATTATACATTGATTATATTATATACGTAAGAAATAATTTTTTATAGAGATATAACTCCTTATGCTAAACAAAAATTTTAACCTAAACAATGATGAGACAAATAATATTAACATTTTTAATGAATATGTATTGTTAATTAAAAATATATCAAGATGACGTAGAAGTGGAGCAAAATACAAGAAGATAAAATGACAAATTCTATAGCACAAGGATAAAGTAACTTTTTTTTTTTTTTGTGTCAAATTAAAATTGTGGTGGGTCTTACGCTCCCTACCTATTCCATGTTGCCGTGAAATCATAAAACAGCACCCTTAGTGGAGATGATTCGGCATCTACTAGTAAACATGGACGGTGGCATCTGATTTGGACATTAAATAAATAATACAAGCTTTTAAGTTTTAAATGATCCTATAATTATAATCTATATGCTTTATTATATTCATAGATAGAAGCAACGATGCTTATATAGTTATATTCCTCATAGTTAAACGAATAAACCTCGTCTTTTCCACACAATCTCTAGAATATGCCTTCTTTTTCCTTGATACGAAAGTAGCATGCCAGCAGCATAAACTGCTTCCATTCCTTGGAACCAATTTATATGGATGCAAATAGGATTAGGCACCCAGCAATTTTATCAACTTTTCTTCAAGTGGATCACGTGGAGATAACAGGTCAACATGCATTGGAGCATATAATATAAACTCCTAGATAGAGGATTTAATTTAACAAAATAATACTGTGAAAAATGGAGCAATTATGGTACAGAAAGTGACTGAAAAACTAAAGATAGATGACGAATTTCTAACAATTGAAAAACAAGGATGCTTACCACCTCAGAAATTTTTGGTGTCATCTCGCACATTATGCTTAGTGGTGGGTCCTCCTCCCACAAATTCATGTATAAATAGATTTTGAGCCACAAACATTTCAAGCTGCAGGGGTATTATTACAATCAAACACTATAGTTAAGGGTCCAGGTATTGTTTCGTCCCACTTATTGTATTTGATTTTTTATTTTCACCGTTGACAAATGTCCTATTAATGTGCATAAAGTGTAGACATTATTTTATTTTAAGTAAGTTTATGTGGTTCACATTGATTGGCAGGCATGTTTCACGCATTGAATTTAACATAACCAATGAAATGACCAATACTTACTTAGTTGCCGTTTTTGAGATATACAGATTCGAGTGGAGAGTGTCCAAGTACAAAATCGAGATTTGGTTTTCTGTCAGTACTTGATCGGTATCCGGTGGTGAATTAGGTGATCGTCAGGTATGAATATTTTTCTTATGGTCAAATTTGGTGTGTAGATGATTTAAACTTGTCTTTTGAAACTAGTTACTTAGGCATGTTTTAGTTGTTTTCTGTTTCACTTTCACACTTTTCAAACTACAAATATAGTGCCCATTATGCTTCTTGTTGCAGATTTCAAATTCCTTCTTCAAGATGGATACTGATCACAGGGCTGGTGGTGTCAAATACGAGTGCTTGCTTTTTGGTATGATTGGTGCAACTCAATAACCTTTCTGCCTTTTTTGTTTAACTTACTCATTGAAATCTTGGCTTCGTTTTATGTGGTATTGTTTGAGAATTATAAAGAAAAAGAAGGAAATAAGGATTTCAATTTGCTATTCTCTGTTTCAACTGGTTAATGATGACTAAAATTTTCAAAGGTTTTGGGGTGTGTTGTAATAAACCATCCGTCTTCTGTTCTCTTATGCCTCTTTAACCAAACACATTCAAACATATTTTATTACTACAACTATGACGAGGGAAAATGGGAATAATTTCTGATTCCAATTGTTGGTCACATCACAGATATGGATGACACTCTCTACCCGTTAAGCTTAGGTCTCAATTTGTTTTGTCGCCAGAACATACAAGGTAAAACAATATAATGAGAACGCATATTCTAGTATTCAGATAATCTCATATGAGATGCAAGTTCTGTAGTTAACCAATCTTTTTTGCAGAGTATATGTTAGAACACTTGCATATTGAGGAAAGTGAAGTGCCAAAGATGTGCCTGGATTTGTATAGGGAATACGGGACAACTATGGCTGGATTAAAGGTATGAAGATTTGGTACTAACCTCAGTTTTTCTTTCATCATACTTCTGAAATGCTGATTCACTGACAATGGTATAATCTTTGTGAGTTTATATAATATAAAGAGAGATTCTTTTTCCACTCATGTTTTCTACAACATATTGTACAACTAGGAAAGAAGTGTATGGAAGATTACTATATTCTATAACTTCAATATGCAGTCTTAATTTGATTTAATAATTTCCTCTCAGCTCCTTGGTTATGAGTTTGACAACGATGAGTTTCATGCTTACGTGCATGGAAGATTACCATACGAGAAACTGAAGCCTGATCCAGTATTAAGGAATCTTCTGCTTTCAATGCCTCAGCGTAAAATAGTATGTCATGAAAAAGTTCAAGTGTTAAACCTTGTGTATTAATTTCAGTGAAGAGCAGTCCATAATATTCTGACTTGAAAATGTTATTTGCAGATATTCACCAATGCAGATCACGCACATGCAGTTCAAGTTCTCAACAGATTGGGTTTGGAAGATTGTTTTGAGGGCATCATATGCTTTGAAACGCTTAATCCTCTCAAACAAATCAATGTACCGGATAATGATCATGTGCCCACAGATTCAACAGATAGTGGATCTTTCAATTCCCACTCACAAATCCTCTGCAAACCATCTGTGGAAGCCTTTGAAGCTGCTATTCGGATTGCTAATGTGGATCCAAATAAAACAGTAAGATTGATCACTTACCTAAAAAGTGACATCAGAAGATTATTTATTTTTGGTTATTTATATATATATATATATATATTACCCTCAGTTTGGAATCAATTCATGATAGTTCTCTTCAATATTATGCAGATTTTCTTTGATGACAGTGTTAGAAATGTTGAAAGTGCAAAATTAGCTGGACTTCACACTGTCTTAGTAAGCTATAATTAATTTGCTATCTGTGCACTTTATGTGAAGATCTAAGCAATTAAATTACTCGGCATTAGATCGGAA